TGCATAATAAGACTTCCATGGACAAAAATGGGAGTCTTAGTTCTGGTATGGTGCTCTTTCTGCATCATCTACCTTTTTCGTGGCAACCGGTATGGACAGGTTAGGCTGCTCCTTATTCAGTTTTCCTCTAGTATGATATAGAAACATCAAATGATGTTTAAGACTCACTTTTCATCAATGAAAAATCTATGAATGCTATGCATTCTGTTTTGTCAAATGATAGTCCTGGAAACATCCGCCTAGAGACCATATTTAAGTCTGGAAATCTAGCTATAATTGAAAAAGAAATCAAATTTTAAGCATCAGGACAAGTGGAAAGAGTCGACTTCAGTAGGGCACAGCTTCAAAGCACATATATTCGAAAGTGTATTTTGTGAATGTGATTCTTCGATCCTTGCAGGGTATCACCCCAATAGAGCCTTGTGGAATAGGTTATTGGGTTCTCTCATCAGTCCAAATCCCTCTTGCCATAATCTATACAGCCTGGATCCTATGCAGAAAAGAGAACCTTCAACATCATACTTTAAACCAAAAGGTATTTAAAATTTGTTATTCTTTTCGACAAGGATTTCGATAAAACTAAACTGTTTCTATTACTCTTGGTGCAGAATATTGAGGACCTGCCAAAGGTTAGACCATCAAAACTAATTTTCCCACTAATGGCACTATTAGCAGGGATTTTGGGGGGTGTCTTTGGGATCGGGGGTGGAATGCTTATAAGCCCTCTTCTTGTACAAGTTGGGATAGCACCTGAGGTAAAATTATGGTCTCATCCATCACAATTCTATCTTCAAAACTGTTTACCAATTCACATTTTGTGCAGGTAACAGCAGCAACTTGTTCTTTCATGGTGTTCTTCTCGTCTTCCATGTCGGCGTTTCAGTACTTGTTGTTGGGCATGGAGCATGCAGATACTGCACTCGTCTTTGCCATCATGTGTTTTGTTGCATCACTTCTTGGACTTGTAGTTCTGCAGAGAGCAATTAAAGTGTATGGAAGGGCTTCTCTCATTGTATTTTCAGTTAGTACAGTGATGGCTTTGAGTACTGTTCTGATGACAAGCTTTGGGGCTCTTGATGTGTGGAGAGACTATGTATCTGGAAAATACATGGGATTCAAACTACCATGTTAATAATAACAATAATCCCAAACAAACAAAAAAATTATGTCAAAACAAATTTTGTAGTTGCTACTTTACCTAGTTAGTTTTCTTATCAAAGCTAAAAAGATTGGGCTTGAAAATCTTGCACTGTAAGGCAAACTGCTCAGTTAAGTCATCCTAATGTCCTATTGCTTCTCCACTTCAGAACTTTCTTAACGACGTGTCGTACAAATTTACTAGCATCTTCATCATCAAGAATCATAGTCAAACAGTTAAGCTCAGTTTTCATGGGCAACGAGTAGCGTAATATATGCTTCCCAGTTTTGTATTTTAGAACACAGACACCTTTGGACCAGAACAGTTAAGAGGTCAAAATTGGAAAATTTTATGAAGGAAACTTGTTCATGAGAACTACAAGTTACAACTTATCCAAAGCAGTCAATGAAAATATCCAGTCTTTCATCCAGTAAATTCAATCTTATGTGAAAAAATTTAAAACTAGAACACAAAAATCAAAAACGAGAAACAACAGCTAAAAAGGCTATCATTAAGCACGAGGCAGACAAATAAAAGCCTGGCACTCATGCAACAGGGGGACGGAGAACATGGTCTTGTGAGGTATCAACTGCAGCCGGTGGCATGAACTGCCACATGGAAACTCCAGGATATCCGACGAAGGGCATCAGTTTGCCACCAACAACTTGGCCTGGGGCAGAAAATGGACCTGGAATTGCAGCAGGGTGAGGCAAGAAGCCTGGCTGAGTATTCAAGGCTTTAATTTGCCGCTCAATGTTTTCTTTCTCTGTTTTGAGCCTCTGCTTCTCATCACGAAGTTCATTCTTCTCAGCCTGTACAAAATGTATACAAGTAAATGAATAAAAGCATCCTATCGAAGAACCAAGAAGAATTTGGACGTCTACTCAAGCAATTTCAGCAAGCAAATCTCCTTACATGAACTGCATCCTAATATGGCTTATAACACATAAAAGAAAAACAAAAGAACAAACGCAGGCACACCTTTAATTCATTTATCTTCTCCTGCAGATCTCCATTTGAATCCTTCAGTTGCTGGGCTTCTCCGCGTAACTGATTCACCACTCGGACAGCATCACCCAATATAGCAGCCTTGTCAGTTTTGGGTGGCCTTCCAGGTTCAAGCATAGAACTCAATTCCAGGAACCTAAAAGTTATGCAACAAGTCAAGATGAGAGAGAGAGAGTGGGAAAGGGGGAGCGAATATCATTGAGTATTAGGGAACTAGAGCATGCCTGTCGTTCAGTCTATCCCTCCGCATTTTCTCTCTGCATGCTTTAGAACCAGTCACATTGCATGATCCAGACCTCACCCTATAATGGACACAATAAACACAAATAAATCATGCTGAAACAGAAGGAGATAATTTAGCATGAGTATTGAGGATCTGACCAAATTCAGAATAAATAAAAAATCCATCCATGCTAAAGCATTAATTCAATAAACAAATTCAAAAACCTGGAAACAGCAAAGGGGTAGTAATACACCATTTCCTGTTTAACAAGTCAAGAAGAATAAGACTCAGTAGATATACCGTTTTCGACACCCACTTTCCTTGATACTGTCTGAATTTCCAAACGAGTCATCAAAGTCCACGCTGAGAAAATAGCAGCAAACAAATGAGTGTGTCGTTAGAACAAAGAAAAGTTTATCTTCGTCAACATAGTATAGCCAGGTTGTTAATTAAGCAGAATGGGAAAAAAATGAAAAAATGATAATTTAGTACTCAGAGAAAGAGAAAATTGCAGATAAGTTTTAGTTAGTCCCCTTATACCAGCAGCATCTTACTTGCACTCCAAAATACTCTTTTTACCAAATATCCTCATAACCCATTAAAGATTAACATAACAGACTGCTTAAAACACACACATGTAAACAAAAATGCCATACTTGAATTTGAGCAAACAAAAAAATGAACTCAATGAACTGCAGGAGGACATCATAAACCCTGCAAAAATGGCATCCTCATAGCCACAGACTCAATGAAGGTGATGATAAAACCGATTACGAATAATTAGCCAACCTTGAACATCCTCAAGGATTTAAACTTAATATAATCACTTTTTAAAGTAAATTCAGCTTAAATGGACATAGCATATGCTCAAGTCTATAACCAAAGCGGCTAGCATTTTAATGAAGTACGCGACATCATGTTAAATCAGAGAACAGCCACAGATCCACTTTTCATCATTTTAATACAACTAAGCTGCTAATAACATTATTATATTCACAAGACTCTCTGAGCATGTACCCTGCACATGCAATGCTTGCTTAGCCGACTTGCAGTTCATGATTATCGTAAAGCATCCAACTTTTTACTGTATTTCATATAGGCTAGAAAATAATTATACTTCAGGCCAGCAATATTATTATATTACCTCATTCGTCAAAGAAAAACCTCCTGAATTAATAAATAACGAAAACAAATTTGAAATTGAGACTTCGAATAAAGTACTAATAAAAACAACAGTTACCCTCCTAAAAAACAGACACCCAATTCACATTCAACAGCAAGGAAAACCCAATTGCAGCAAAATGATGAACTTGGTTGAAGAAAGTAAATGGGTTGCGGTACCTGGGAGCGGCCGGAGCGACAAATGAATGAGAGGGCCAAGTGAAACCGGGCAGGTCAAGGGGCGGTAGGTCACCGCCAGGTACAGGAATATCTTCTAAAACTCCATAATCGAAGACCCAGTTGTGATTTTGCGGCGGCGAACCCATGTTTTATCGGTTGCCGGAAATTCTGAATTTCCGGCGGTGACCCTTTGCAGGGACAGAGCCGCCGTTGTGGGTTGGAGCTTGGGAATCGTGATGGAAATTTTAAACAATTATTATTGTTATGAAAAACAATTTTGAGCCAATTTTGGTTGAAGGGTTTCGGTGGTTCGGATTATTATTGCGTATATGGAAGTGAAAGAAAAGGTAAGATATTGTGATTTATGGAAAGCGTACAAAAGAAAGGCGCTGGCGGGTCTCCAAATTCTCGCCACACTGCACACGCAGCCACCACAAAACGTGCCATTATAAAAGTCTCCTTTTCAATTTTCGCCACTTTTATTTTCCTTCTTTATTTCTCAGGTCACTTGTTCTTTTGACATGGCCTTAGAATTCAAGAGCCTTGGGCTTTAGCTTTTGTCAACGGTGTAGTCTAATGAGAAATGGTCTTTACTTGCAGATTAGAGGTTTAATATTCGAACAAGAATTCTATAGTGAGGGTCTTATAAATAGCTCTTAGGTAAGGTCATATCTCTTAACCGTTTAATCAAATTAATTAGCCGTTGGATCAAATTGAGTAACCTGTCGAACAAGAATTCTATAGTGAGGACTTTATATATATGTGTGAAAAATCTTTCTCTCCTCTATTTAAGACTATAACTTGTATTTTAAAAAACTTGGGCTTTTACACAAACAGAGAACCAATCTTTATTTTCATTACAAGGCCCGATGAACCCAACAAAGGAAAAGAGAACCAAAATTATCAACAATTTGGGCCAACGCATGAAAGCCACTGGTGAGAAGATATCTTTTGGGGGCAGAATTTTTATTAAAAATCACAAGCAAAGGTGCACCATGTAAGATGACATATGAGAACAGAAAGAATTACAAGCAGAAAATGTTACATTTACAAAGTTCAACATCCATACAGCAAACCAAAGAAAAACTTATCATCCATATCTGTGCTAGAACCCATCACAACCACTTATTTCACATGTTCAAACTTGAAACTGTGTGATATCGCACACTGTTGCTACGCAACAGAAACACGTATGGACTGAACATAACCCTCGATCCATTTCCTTATCTCTTCAGGATTGGCACCCACAAGCTTGTCAACCAGTGCACCTTCCCTCATCAGCAAAAAAGTTGGCATAGCCTTTATCTCCAGTCGAGTCGCTACCTCCTAAGAAAACAAAAAGAAGGAGAGATATTTATATCCATATCACCATCATAAACAGCATCAAACCTTCCAAGAGTTTTTAGTCCCTATCTTTAATTGTCAAATGATTATGAATACCAGACAGCAAAGCCTTATGAAAAGCAATATCCAAAAAAGCATAAGCAAAGAAGATAAGCAATATCAGATGGAAGATGGTCAATTTCAAACACAAAGAAGATTCTAGGATATGTATACAAAAATTAGACATACTTTTGTGTCAAGGAATTAGGCTAAGTTAATTACCTTAACATCATCCACATCAACCGCGAGAAACAGAACATCCGAATAGCTTGAGGCCAATTCCTCAAAGAATGGGTTCATAGCCACCGAAGGCATGCACCATGAAGCAGTAAAGTGTGCAACAATCTACGACATATCCAATTCCAACCCAAGTAGACCCAAAAAAAACCCGGCAAACAAACGCACAAATTAAACCAAAAACTAAAAATTCAACAACAAAGTCATAAGAACACGGAACTGTGTTCAATTGAGATGTCTGAGGAGACTTACAGGGCAGCCTTGGTTGGTGGCTTGGGTTACATACAAGTCCCAAGTCTCCACAGAATCAACCTTTATGACTCTGGACTTTATGGCCTGCGTTTCCTGTACTTGACTATCCATCTCTCTTTTCCTTCCTCTGTTTCTTCACTTGCTGACTTCCTGGCTGGCGTTTCAGTATTTGAGTGTATTGACAACCTGTAGCCCTGTCTACGACTCTAAATCTAGATGCTGCTAGATGAGATGAGATTAGGACGATATTTGACCAAAAACAACAAGAAAAAACAAGAATATATATATTTAGGATAGGTACGAATGTTAGAGTTGGGCCCACTTCCGTTTTATAATCCGGAGTACGTTTTTCCTTTACCATTTTTTAGCGTCCTGTTTTTGCAAGTGAGACAGCCTGTTTTTGCAATTGCGACAAAAACGTCCACTGATTTTTCTAATGTCTTGTTTCGTTACTCGGGTATATATCCTTCCACTGAAATAAAATAGCACCAGATTATTTGGCTTCTCATGACGAGAAAGTCAAAAGTTTAACAATCCCCGCATTCCTCAAGGGATGAACATTTTCCATATAGCACAAAATATTTATTGTCATAACTCATAAGCATACAAACAAACACAAAGAAGAAAAAAAAAAACAAAAAAACAAAAAAGATAAGGGATCTCAGAGAGAAGTACAAATTAGTAAGTAGGCCTCAAGCAGAAGATCTGCAAACAAATTGATAGAGAGCCAATCTGACTCCATTATGCACAACACAACCTTTGTTTTCCCGTTACAAACAACAACGTGCTTCTGCTACGAACAAATGCAGTCACACAGTAAATCAAAGACAAACAATCTCAGCCATAACTTAAGCGAGAATCTGAAGGCGGCCGCGTGGTTGTTGTCTGCCTCCGAGGGATCCCAATTTCGCAGGCATTCACTCTAGCAGCAAATCGAAGAGAGCAGAGAGATTCACCGACTGAAGAAGCATCTGGGGAGATGTTGACGACCATCAACGTCTTCGAATCCCCTCCCAAACAAGGCTGTTTATACCATGAATAACGAAAGCAAAGAGGGTATTTTAGGTCCTGCTTAGAAATATCACAACTGCCATGCAGCAAACACACACATAAATTACTATACCTGAAGAAGATAGGTGAGCTTTGAGTTCCTAAAAGGAACGTGGTCTTCCTTTTTCGCCAAAGAAAATATGACATCACTCAAAGATGACAAGCTTTTGTTAATGGCCTGATTGTTATTATCAAACGTGTTAGCTAACCCATTCAAATATCTCTTCACATATAGTTACATCTATCAGGGAGAAGATTGGGAATTTCCAAGAAGAAAGACCTGAGTTTCCTTCAAACGTTCCCCAGTTGCGCCACTCCTTGAAAGTCTCTCACTTCCAGCAAGATCAATAAGGTTTAAGACCCCCTGAACTTGTTGTTCGGTATTCTAATAAGGCAAGAAAGCATATCAGCAGATACACATAGAACGAGCAAACCAGAATGAAAGATTTCTTAGAGTGCAATCGTCACAGCAGCCACAAGGAATACAAACCTCATTCATGCCGGATATACGCAAAGTAAACACGAAATGGCTTCTTGAAGATTGCTCATTCATCTGAGTCTTGCCCACAGACCTAACACATCATATATAATAGCAGCAAAAACTCAATGAACTTCTTAGCAGGCAATATTAAAAGTTTGATAGCAATATGCTATCTTCAGTGAAAAGAACACGCAACACATAGTTATGAAACATCACAAGACCAATTCAGAAAATTTTGAAGTATACCTGCTATTTCCAGCTTGTTGTAGAAGAGATGAAATTTCCTTTATACTGCAAACATCAACAATCGTGAGGTCAGAAACATGCGTGTTTCCATTTGCATCGTGCTTTATCGTATACTGCTTTCCACAGACACCATTTTCTGTCCTCGACAAGTCTGCACCACTTGATCGACTTGTGCATAATAAATCGCGAATGTTCTCGTTGTATATCTCAAGCATCGAGGCCTGCATATGTTTAGAAGGGAATGTTATAATTTGCAAATATAGACTAATGAAAAACAAGTTATAGTACCTGCATTCTGTATTTCCATCCCTGGGCTTGAAGAGATTGACTCGCTTGAAATATCTGCTCTAATGAACGAGGTATTAATCCTTTTTGCTCTGGAGCATCTGGCCTACCCATCATGGTATAGGTCTTGCCAGAACCTGTTTGACCATACGCAAATATGCAGACCTACAAAAAGACAGCCAATACTTGTTTTAGTGCATGCCTCTGCATGTATAAAATGTGAAAAGAATTCACCAAAGAGGGTATAAACAGTACTATAATGGTCTTAAAATTCCAAAGACATAATCCAATAATGCATTTAAATTGTTTAGTTCTTTAAAAAAAATTTGTACATAACATCTCCTAATGCACCAGTAATTTATTTAAAAGGACATAAAACAATATGTAGACACAACGCGTACCTTATAGCCGTCAAGTGCACTCTGCACAAGCTGCGATATTTCAACAAAAACATCTTGTTGTGAAGTCTCATGATGAAACACCTTATCAAACGTAAAAGGATATTTTTGCCCTGCAAATAGTTAAAGTATAATTAGATAAAAAACAACTAAGTAACAAAAGTGAAATTTCTAGAAGAATTTTAAGAGCATTTGATTGAAGACATAAAAGCACACATATCCATACCACTTTGTACCAAGTCAATGCCTCTGCCAAGAGTTTCAGTTGATGTAGGATAAGAAATGACTGGGGCTTCTGTTGTATTGCCATCATCAGGTAGCAACGGACGCACTCGGCAGAACACCCTAATATTACCTTTTAATTCCTATTATAGAAGAAAATTAGTACCCTTGAAACAGAGTAAGCATAAAAAGAATATATATATATATATATATATATATATATATATAAGAACAAAAAAACTACCAGAATAGGATTGTGCAGCTTTTTCTTT